GTTTAGATTTTAACTTGGGCTGCCTCTGGCTTCAGTTTCCCCACCCCTAGAAGGGAATTGGTTATATTACCTTGTTTTTCATGCCACAGGCAGCACTCAGCCCTGTCCCTGGTAACTGCTGTGGTGGCCATAGTGATCACTGGCCAGGCCCCCCATGGGTGGGGCAGCAGGGAAACAACTTCCACACCACAGGCCTCTGGCTCAGACTGGCCTATAGGCCAGGTGAGTCCCAAAGCCAGTCCTGTTTCCTTCCACCGGCTGACCCATGGACACAGCTTCTCCTCGCCACCTCAGCCACAGCCTATCTCATAGTCTCCTTTGTTCCATCAGTGGACTCCAACGACAGCCTCTACGGGGGAGACTCCAAGTTCCTGGCTGAGAACAACAAGCTGTGTGAGGTGGTGATGGCCCAGATCCTGGAGCACCTGAAGACCCTAGCCAAAGACGAGGTGGGGCCTCTGGCATGTGCTCCCAGTGGGGCACTGCTCCACTCTGGAAGGGAAGCGATTCTGCAAGGGCAGGGGGCTATTTGAGGCTGGTACTCCTTCCTTCTCACCCCAGTCTCTGGAAACCACACTGCTCCGCTCAACTCCTAGGATAGCAACGCTAGTTAAGAATGTTCTGTCAAACAAAACCAAGCTGGATGTGGTGGCACATACCTGTGATGCTTCAGCACTTGAGAGACCAGGGCAAGATTGTGGGTCTGCAGCCAGCCTGCACTATGTAGTGAAATTGTGTCTCAGTAAAATCACATCTGCCCTCACAGCTGCTCTGCTTGCACAGCTCAAGTGGTCACCCTGGCCTCCTCCCTGTGGCAGACTCCTGAGGCACTTGGTGGCAGTCACAGTGTGGTGTGTACTCTCGATTGGAAGCTCCTTGGGAGCTGGGGTGGGCTGTCTTTGAGTCATGACGTCAGTGCCACAGTAGGACCTTTTCAAAAAAGCTGTCCAGTCTATAAATAGCCATGCTGGCCACACCCAAGCACCCTTCTGAAGGGCAGGAGCCATGTTTGGTTCCCGCTGAACAATGGAAACCAAGGCAAGCAAGTTTAGCCAGAACAGTAGAAATAGTAACTTGGGGCCTCATGCTGGGCAGGTGCTCTACCACACACCTACCACTTGTAGTTTTTCAAGATAGAGTGCTAGGCTTTTTTTTTTTTTTTGGTCAGTCATGGGGCTTGAACTCTGGGCCTGGGCAGTTCTTCAACTTTTCAGCTCAAGATGAGCACTCTACTACAGCTCCACTTCTGATTTTCTGAGTGGTTTATTGGCGATAAGAGTCTCATGGATTTCCCTGCCCAGGCTGGCTTTGAACCATGATCCTCAGATCTCAGCCTCCCGAATAGCTAGGATTATAGGCATGAGCCACCGACACCTGGCTGGGTGTTAGGCTTTTTGCCCAAGCTGGCCTTGAACCGCAATCCTTCCTACCTCTTCCTGAATAGCCAGGATTCAAGAGTGCACCACCACTTCTAGCACTTTTGGCTTCCCAGTGTGCACTAGGACCTTCAGCAAGGGCCTTTCGCTGATCTGTCCAAGCACAGGAACAGTGTCTGTTCCAGCCAGTGTAGGACCCAGCGCTTCACTCAAGTAGCTTCACTGAATTCTGACTAGAGCCATTCACAGGCTGGAGTCCTTGAGTGCAGGACTCACGCTCACGTGCAGGCGAGGTTCCAGGATCATCTGCTGGGACTCAATTGTCCCATCTCCATGTGGCAGATGATTTTGTGATTTCTGTGTTCAGCTAGTAACTCCCCACCTCCCTTCCCATGATTGCTGGCACGGCTCCTGGTTCTACAGTTTGGCTTGGGCTCAGGAACCTGTCTGTTGGCATGGCCTTTCCTAGTGACTGTTACCTTTGGGGAGGGGACCTCTCATGGGCCTGCTGTGAGTTCTAGATACTTATTTCCCCCTCTCCCATTGAAATGGAGTGTTAGGTGTAGCTTGCCCTCTCTTTCTCCATGAAGTGTACACCTTGCTCCCACTTTACAGATGGAGAGGCAGCAGGACTCAGTGGGTGGAGCAGCAAACACATGGGAGAGCTGGCATTTGAACCCGACCCACAGAGTCTCTGCTGGGCTCTGTGGCCCCGGGTGGCCCAAGTCCCAGTGCAGGGGGTCACCACCCTTTCTCTACAGGCCCTGAAGCGCCAGAGCCTGCTGGGCCTCTCCTTCTTCAACAGCATCCTGGCCCACGGGGACCTGCGCAACAACAAGCTGAACCAGCTGTCTGTCAACTTGTGGCACCTGGCACAGAGGCATGGCTGTGCTGACAGCAGGACGATGGTGAGGACCAGCCCTGCCACACACAGCCAGCCCTGCTCGCCCGGGCTCCTAGCTGGCACCAGGCTTCCTCACATGAAAATGCCCTCATACCTGGCACCCCCTCTGATTTTAAGGGCACAGTATGGTTCAAGTTCTACTATGTGCTCACACAGCGGCACCCTCACCCGGCCTTGGGTTCCCAGTGTAGTGAGCCACACGTGACACAGACCTTGCTCTTCCCTCCTAGGTGAAAACTCTGGAATACATCAAGAAGCGAAGCAAACAGCCGGACATGACTCATCTGACAGAGCTGGCCCTGCGACTCCCCCTGCAGACAAGGACCTGAGCCCCATGGGGACTTAGGGTTTTTTGTTTTTTAACATATACATATGGTTGAATGGTTTAAGATCTGACCTCTGACCTCTACCCAGACTTTTTGACAGCAAAGAGAGAATCCGCAAAGTATTAAATCCAATTCTCCGAGGAGCAATGTCCTAGCGTTTCTTTGCCAAGGGGCCTTGCTTCAGCTCCTCAGTGAGGCCCGGGAACGGCTGGGCCTTCTGCAGGGGAGAACCAGGAATGCACGCAACTTCCTTTACTGGTGTGCCTCACGTTGTGCCTGTTTAGTAAGACAGCAACCTTAGAGGACTTCATGGCAGATCTCGCATGCATTTAGCCCCATCGAGAGTGTTCCAGTTGGTCTTAGAACACGACTATGGCACCAGGAGAAAATGAGGTACAGTCTGAGTCGCTGTGGCTTCAGTGAAGTGTGCCATGAAATGCGTAGGTGCACTCAGGTCTGTAGTCTAGTCACTGACCTCCACCAAAGGCCTGTGGTGCATTGCATGGCCTGGGGATACCTGCTCTGCCTCTGGAGCTCCGCTGCTTCCCTGCTGCTGGCCTGTTTGCTGGAACTCCATTCTTGACATGGTTTCCAGTACAGCATTTAATGACTGGTGCCTGACATTGTCGGTGAGAAACCATGCAGGCTGTGGATTAAGTGTCAGGACCTAGCCGATTGCACAGGCCCTGCCATGCCCATGGCTAGGCCTGCCATCCAGCTGCTCGGGAAGCTGCTCAAGTCACAGCATAGGAATACCCCGTCTCAATAAGTAAACAGATGAATAAAACCCCAATTTATGCTTTTGGGAAATATGCCCTGAGAGTGGGATACATTTCATCTTTACTCTTCCAGGGAGGTAGGAGGTGACTGCTAATGCATGGCTCACCTCAGAAAATAAAATTTAAAAGTAATTTCTAGGGCTGGGAAGGTGGCTTAGTGGTAGAGCACTTGCCTTGCATGCTTGAGGCCCTGGTTTGATTCCTCAGCACCACATAAGCAGAAAAAAAAAAAAAGCTGGAAGTGGCGCTGTGGCTCAAGTGGTAAGAGTGCTAGCCTTGAGCTGAAGAGCTGAGGGACAGTGCCCAGGCCCAGAGTTCAGGCCCCACGACTGGACAAAAAAAAAAATATATATATATATATATGTATCTATTCAACTCATGTTCCTAAGTTTAGGACTAGCAAGACTAGATTTTTGGGGGCCAATCTGATGACAACCCCTGTGCCTCAAAGAAACAGCTGTACAATGCAACGTCCAACCCCAACTAAACACGTCAGAAAACAGGGTTGTCCTCGTTCTGCTCAAGTTCTCCCAGAGCAGAGCGCCTTTATTTCAAAAAGTTATTTCCATTAAATTTATTTCAGTAGGATGAGGGAAAACTGGGAGAGAGCGAGGGAAGGGGGTGACATTGTCCAAAAAGAAATGTACTCCTTTCCTGACTTACGTAACTGTAACCCCTCTGTACATCACCTTTATAATAACAAAGAATTAAAAAAAAATAAAATTACTTGAAACAAACTGTATTATGCTAATTAAAACCAAGGGGCAGATTCACAAATTACCCTCCTTAATTCATTTCTTCTAATTTGAGGCTGCAATTCCATCAGCTCTCAACCTAAACCACTTAGTAACTGAAACCACAGTTGTGAACCACCACACTGAGGTAGACAGCTGAGTTGGGGATCTTGCTAATACTCTTGTCTAGGCTAGCATCACTCTTCAGTCCTCCTGATCTCTGCCCTGAGCGGCTGGGATTACAGAAGTGCACTACCATGCTCGTCTGGACATACCCCTTTTAAAGGAGAGCTATGGCTGCCTGGCAGATACTTTGATGGGAAGGTGGCTTCAGGGGCAGAGGCTCACACACTGAGGCAGACAGTAGAAATCATTTAGGACTAATGTGGGAGGAGCCAGGGTTGAAGAGACAGCTGGAGTATAGGAAGGATATGGCCATAGAGGGTCAGCTACTTAAAAAATACCCAAAGGAGAAACAACCAGTCCTAGGTGAACTCTGACCTTCCACCACCCTCTCCCTCTCTCTCCCAAACTCCTAGGACCCACAGGTAGGCTGTGTTCTGTTCTGCAGGGGGCAGAGACATGAGTAACATAAGACTTGATATAAACCTGCAGAGGGCCTGGGGAGAGCACTTAAAGCAGGAAAAGGAGGGACAGAGTGGGTCAAGCCAGCTGCAGGCCGGGAGCCTTAACATCAGGCTGAGACTAAGTCCCCAAGAAGGGGACATGTGAGGAAAGGCAGAGCAGGGTGGAGCTGCTCTGGAGCCATAGCTTGCTGCTGTCCTGGCTGCCCAACTTCCTCTGGTGACAGACTAGATTTCTGTACACAAGCAAGCAGGCCTATAATCCTAGCACTGGGGAGAAGAGGGCCTGACATATAGACACCCCAAAACTTCTGCTTTCCTTCATCAATTTGTCCCAGTAGTGGCGACCTGCCCTAGATGGGTATGGCCTGCACTGCTGGGGTCCCTGAGCTGTGGTGCCTCTCCTATAAGATGGTGGAACAGTAGAGCTTCAGCTGGAATATACGCCCTATCCATGTGTGCTCTGCAAACACCAGTCCCCACCCCCTGCTCCTCCAAGCCCACCCATCCAGAGTTGTCCTGAACCTTCGCAAGTGTCTGGTTCAAGATAACTGCCTGCAGCTTCCACCTGCCACACGAAGAAAAGCCAGGTGGGCTGCTGAGAGACCAGATGGGAGTTTAATCGCTCAGCTTGACGGACCTGGAGGCGTTCCTGTCGATGTAGAAGACTTTGTCTGGGGTGGGAGAGTAGCCGAGGCCGGCGCCGCGGCTGCACTTCCAGCTCATGGCCCGGTCGTAGTCCTGCTGCAGGTTCTGCTGCAGGCTGTCTGCCTCCTTCTTGCTCAGAGCCATGTTGGGCTTGCCTACTGTGCTGGCGGAGCGGCTGGACGAAGGGGACAGGTGCTTAAAGCCACCCATAAGTTTGAGAAATTTCAGTTTCTGTTCCTCACTTTCAAAACCAGCAGTATCCCACTGGCCAAACTGGGTTCCCTGTGAGGAGGAAAACGCGGTTATTTGTCTTCAATCCCACGCACCCTTTCCCTCCACTCAGCCCCTGCTGCTGTGGCCCAGTGCCAGTACGCCAGAAGACAGTCTCATTACTATTCCTGCGATCTGGGAGGACAACTGTGGCCACTCTGACGGATGAGGAAAGGGAGGCTGATGGGCAGATACCTCCTGTGTCACCTGAGAGGTTCCAATTCAGGCCTGGGCACCACGAGAGCCCTCCCCCCACCACGTGACCAGGTGTGCCTCTGCCCTGGCTCTGCCTGACATTGGCAATGACAACCATCACTTCCCCTTCCCTCCCTCACCACCCAGCACCATTACCTCCTAACAGCTGTATGAGTCTTCCTGTCACGCTGTGACCACACAGCTGACAGAAGCAGCAATGACTTGCTCTGCTCCGGGTTAGTCATGGCGAATAGGAAAGGGTCCGAGCAAAACATAGCCTCCAAGGACACTCCCACCTTCCCACCACCTACTGATTTGATGACAGCCCTTGGATGTCATCTATTCATTACTAATCAAGTTGACTAGCACATAAATCAATCCAGTTGACAGTCAAGATTCACAACTTAGAAGTTGCATCGTGGCCGGGGGCCAGTGGCTCGTACCTGTAATCCTAGCTATTCAGGAGGCTGAAAAGTCTGAGACTCTTATCTCCAATAAACCACTAGAAAACCCGAAGTGGTACTGTGGCTCAAGCGGTACAGCGCTCACCTTGAGCTGAAGAGCTGAGGGACAGCGCCCAAGTCTAGAGTTCAAGCCCCACGACCGACAAAAAAAAAAAGTGGCATTGTGGTTCAAAGTGGTACAGCCTTGAGCAAGAGAGCTTATGGACAGCGCCCAAGCCTTAAGTTCAAACCCCATCACCACCACCACCACCACCACCAACAACAACAAAAGAGAAGGCCTTATAGAGCTGGGAATGTGGCTTAGTGGTAGAGTTGCTTGCCTAGCACCCAGGAAGCCCTGGGTTTGATGCCTCAGTGCCACATAAACAAAAAAAGTCAGAAGTGGCACTGTGGCTCAAGTGGTAGAGTGCTAGGCTCAAGCAAAAGAAGCTCAGGAACAGTGCCGTAGGCCCTGAGTTCAAGCCCCAGTACTGGCAATAAAAACAACCAAACAACACAAAACCCCACCCCTCTGCTCACCTCCACCACCTTTTTTTCCAGTGCTGGGGATCAAACCCAGTGCTTGGAGCATGCTAGGCAGGTGACCATCGTGGTCCTACCTCCCCTCTCCTCTTAACCCGGCACAACGCAGCTGTTACCACGGCCACTTCCCATGCACCTGTACACGGTGCACTTTGTGCCAGCTGGCTGCTGGTGGTCCTGGGGAGCCCCCACCGGCTGCCGACCCTACATGGGCACTGGCCTGCTTACAGGCCACATGTCAGCCATGCGCTGGTTTCCAGTCTGCCCTGTGAGGTTACCTACAACTGCTACAGCTGCCCAGGGGGAAACTGGAGACCTCAGTTTCATGGTGGCCCCGGTTAGGGAAATGACAACTTCTCAGGCTACTGGTGATGCCCCGCCCAGGTCTGAGAAAACCACTGCCAGGGGCCAATGGGGCCTGGTGAGCTGCTCTTCCATAAGAATCCCTGACCCCTGCCTCAGGGTCATCTGAAGCACCCCTGGCAGACCCCAGTGCATGAAGGGAAAGATCTTGCTTAGAGACACCAGACCGAATCACTGATCTTGGCAATTCTCATTCAAACTCCTGTCAATACACATGGAAGGCTGAGGCCAGGGCCAGAAGGTGGTCTTTCCCTTCCTACAGCCAACCTAGCACCAAGTTCCATGGTGGGCCTCGGTGGCCAACTCAGAGCAGGCTCAGGCCACTCTCCAGGTCCTTGGCCCGACTGCAGCCAGAGGCTGAGCTGGTGCTGCCCTGGCCTGCACTGGCTACTGTGCGACCTTGCTGGCCTTCGCCGTAGACCACCCCCTCTGCTACCTCGGGGTTCTGCCCTCCTCACCTTAGGGTGTCCAGACAAGTGTCACCGCAGCCTGTGTAGACCAGCCCGGCCTCTCCTGCTCTTTTCTACCTCTTTCTCCTTAGTATAGCTGTCATTTGCCTATCCCTTCCTTATGGATTCTCCATTTTCCTGCCACACTTACTGTCCTCTTGGGCCACCAGCGTGTGATGGTGAGGTGAGGGGGGTCCCAGCTGCCTCTGATACCTACACTTGGTACACAATAGAGGCTCACATGCTAAGTATGTGTGACGGGGGTGTAGAATCCAGCGACTCACAGGGGCCTAGCCACGCAGTGCGCGTGCTGTCCTCCTACCTGCCCTATTGAGCCTTCTTCCCTCCCCTTTTCTCTTGGCCAGGTCTGGAAAAGTTCCTATTGCTGCCCCACTCCTGCCTCTCCCACCTCATGCTACAGGGACCGCAGGGGCAAACTCACCGTCCAGCTTTTGGAGTCTGATGCCTCTATCTTGCCTGATTCCCGGTCGATCTCTTCCTGCAAAGCCTTCCGCCTCACCTGAGAAGGACAATGGACGGGAGGGTGACCCCAAGCTCCTTCCAGAGCTGGGGATGGAGAGAGGGGAGGCCACCCTGAGCTCCCTCCAGAGTTAAGGATGGGGGGCAAGAGGGGAGGTGGTGAGCTGCCCTCCACTAGGGCCAGAGGGAGGCTTTAGTAAAGACACAAAAATAAAGTTCCTTGGCCTAAAACTCGCAGGCCTCAATTTATCCCAGTGATCTTTGGATAGCCTGGTGCCCCCACCACCAGGACCTTGTGACCTAGTGCGTAGCAGGTGTACAGGGAGAGGCGCTGGCTGTACCTGGTCTATGCAGGCCTCATCCATGTTGCCTTTCTTTTCCAACACCACCTCCAAGTCTGTGTCGGATGTCTGCAAGAAAGGGAAGAGAGGCTGAGGCTCTAACTGAGGCTCAGCACACAGGATGAGGTCCTTAAGAGTCCAGGACTCCAGCCTGCACCCTTGACAATGAGGCCATTTCAGCTCTCCCGCAACTCCCCAAATCAGTGGCACCAGGCATTTGACAGAGGAAGAAACAGGTTCCTAGAGCTAAAGCAACAAGCACAGGGCTCCCTGAGGCTGAGGCATAGCACCTATTCCAGCCTGGGCCTCCTGACACAGGCTTAGCAGGCAGCCTCCCTGCTGGGACTGGCAGGAGCCAGGAAATGTGGAAGTGGCTCAAGGGCCTGTCGCCCACCCCATCTAATTCTCCCTTCCATACTCCTGTCCCTCCCCATGCCACAGCTCAGGCTTGCTTCAAAGCTCTTTCTCCCCTTCCCAGGAGGCACGGTACTGGTGTCTGTACCTGCTCTGCTCTGAGGACAGTAGTGCCCCCCCCCCCAAGTCCCAGCTCTAGCCTCGCTCACCATACTCCTGAAACAGCCTCTAGTACAGGCTCCCCAGTAACAGTGGCCAGGTTATGGGTTCTCACGTTAGGGTGCTCTGCCCAGCCCTGGTGGTGTGTGTGACAGGATGGATGGCCTAGCCAGAAGAGATGAGCACATCTGGCTGGGAGGCAGAGCCCCGTCCAGGGACAGGCCGCACAGAGCAGACATCTCTCACTGGCCTCCTAGGGAAGGAGGTCCCAGGTTTCTGCAGTTTCTTCTGAATAAAGATGCTGGGTGGACTGAGCCTCATGGGCGAGGACAAAGCTGGGAGAAACCCCACAAGCAGAACTTCCCCTGCAGACCCCCAGCCTGGTGGCCTCCACCACCCAGGGGCTGCCCTCAGTGGGCACTAAACAAGGCTTTCCCTGCCAGGCCCATGGTGATTGGATGGTGTGATGGCACAAGGCCACCTTGTAGGACACCAGCCCAGCGTAGGGAAGAGAGACCAAGCTTTGTCTTTCTTGGGCTCCAGTGACACTGGTCTCTAGGGGAGGGGCCATGCCGGAAGCCCCAGTGTTGGGTCTCCTACCACCCCTGCTTCTGTCCTCCGAGCCCCAGCTTTCTTGTCAGGTGCGGATGGCCACAGCACTCTCCGTTGGGCTGGTGGGGAAAGGACCAGATCACTGGATCACCAGGTGGAATACGGACCCAGAGCCTGCCACACCTTGCTCTGAGCAGGGCCCAGACCTGGCCACAGGATATTACATCCTTCTGCTGCACCCACAAGTGCCTTGCTCAGGCAGGAACAGTGGCCTGACCCTGGTGAAGGCCCAGCTGGATGCAGGTCAGCAGAGTCCCCAGCCCTGTCAATCACCATTGCCATCCCTCCCACTCCAATCAGGATGGAGACTGTGGACAGAGGGCCCCAGTTCTCATCTCAGATGCCCACCCCCGCTTCAGACTGTGTGGTATAGGTGGGGCAGATACCGTTGGAACTGCACCCTTGGCTTCTGATCAGGTCATCTGGTTTATGACTCAGTGGACGCCTTTGAGAGCAGCCGGGGACCTTCAGAAGCCAAGCCTGGAGCTGTGGAGATCATGAAACTGGCAGAGGGCAGAGAGGAATTGACTAAGTCCTCTTCTCAGCCCAGAGCTGAGAACACCTTCTGGCCATCTGTTAGCCAATACAATGCAGTGGGCTCACAGCTATATACACAATGTTATCTCAAGCCATATTATTATCATAGTTCATGAGCCGCTGGATTCAGCCACACCTGAAGCTGGATAGCTCCAATGCTTTCCTGCACATGTCAATAACTGTCCTCCCCCTTCCCTCCCTGTGCTGGCGTTTCTGATAGCTGTAAGTATGACTATCTACATGCAAAAGCGCACCAGATACACATATGTACTCTCCACCCTCAGCCTGTTCTCCCCAGGGAGGACCTACCTCCTCCCAAGGGTCTTTGACTTCCCCACCTTCTTTCCTCTTCTTTCTCTTCCTTTTTAGAGCCAACTCCTCAACTGGATGCTCTACCTTTTTCTTGGACTTCATTTTCTTCTTCATTGGGGACTTAGGACCATCTCCTATTGGGATAAATTCTAGAGCTTCAATCTTGACTGGCTTCTTCTTACTTCCTTTCCTAGAGTTGTTCTCCACAGACTTGGAAACTTTGAGTTGACCTAAGTAAGTGTCTCTCTCCGGATGGATCTTCTTCTTCTTCTTCTTCTTCATCTTCATACTGTGTTCTTTGGGGTTCCCCTGTTTCCGTTTCTGCCCGGAGGCGGTCTGCTCCTCAGTCTCCTTCCCCACTGAGCATGTGCGCAGTGCATCTCCAGCCTCATAGAGCCACCGGTCCTGGTGGGAGAAGGCAGAAGTATCCTGGGCCTTTTTCTCCTTCTTGTGTTTTTTGAGCTTCTTGCCAATCTTCATCATTTCCTCACTCTTTGTGTGGTCTGGGGAAGTCTTTATCCAAGAGTTGTGGGAAGTAATTACAGGTAAGGACTTCCTCTTCTTTTTCTTCTCCAAGCAAACGAACTCCAACGGCTCACGAGCCTGCTTCCCAGGGCTGTAGGACTTTGCCCGCCTGGCACATGACAATCTGGGTTCGGATTCCTGGGGCAGCTCACCAATGAAGCTGTGACTTTTCTTTTTCTTCTTCTTTTTTTTCCCCAGACATATCTCGGGGAACGTCCCTTGGCCCAAGTTAAAATGGGACGTGGCCCTTGTGGGAGACTGGTCGGAAAAATAATTATCATTATTTAACATTGAGTACTGAGTCTCTGGTTCTCTAACAACCATCCTTTTCTTCTTTTTCTTTTTCTCTGGGACCCCAAGGCCCAAGTCTGCTTTGTGGGTCTTTGTGACCATTGCTAAGGAAAGAAATGATTCAAGTTATTACCACACATGTACTCCCCGACCCCGCACTGCATTCCATATTACACTCTGCACAGAGCCATGGTTCTGAGTGGGTGGTAGGAAATGTTAGGACTATTGTACTGGAACTCAGTCATGAGAAAACAGAGAAGCCACCTTTCAAGAGGCTGAATTGGAGAGCCTAGAACTGCAGGTAGAGACTCCTGTCTCAAAGACCAGTAGCTCCGAATGCAGCTAGCAACAAAGCTTATATAGTCCCAAACACATAAGGTGTGAGGAATTAAGTCTAACAAAAGTGTTATACATAAGCAAAGCAAACCAGAGGACACTTATATCAAGGGCCAATTATCTAGGGGGCTTTCTTGGAGCTTAACAACTCAGGACAAAACAAATGTCTGTCACCTCTAGATCTGCAGAGCTGGGTGGAAAAGCCCCTCCACCTAGCAAAGTAACAAGATGGCTGCAAGGACAAGGCATATTGCTTAGACTCAGTGTCCTTATTTCAGGCCCATAATTCTTTGGGAGCACAGGGAAATCTGACAAAGTACTGGAAGTTAAATTACCTAAAGTTAGCTCTAGGATTTAACCTAACTGTTCTCCCACCTGAAATCACTCACTTGCATCCCTGGGCCTTTGTTTCTTCATCTGAAAAATGGAGAAGAAAATAACACCCTTCTTGCTTATTGACTGACTCTGTGGACACAGGTGACATCAAAAGTGCTGTAAAGTCGGGCATGGGTGGCTCATGCCTTAAACCTAGTGATTCAGGAGGTTGAATTCTGAGGATCATGGTTTGAACCAGGGCAGAAAAGGGCATGAGATTCTCCAATTAACCACCAAAAAAAAAAAAAAAAAGGAAGTGGAACTGTGCCTCAAGTGATAGAGTGCCAGTCTTAAGGAAAAGCTCAAGGACAGCTTCCAGGCACCCAGTTCAGGACCCAGTATCCCCACATACATATGGACAAGAGTACTATGCGGACAGTAATTAAGCCTGAGACAATCCCAGAAAGTACCAGAACAAAATCCCAACAAATGGTGACTTTTTTTTTTTTTTTGCCAGTCCTGGGGCTTGAACTCAGGGCCTGGACACTGTCCCTGAGGTTCTTTTGCTCAAGGCTAGCACTCTACCACTTGGGCCACAACACTACTTCCAGCTTTTTCTGTTTATCATGGCTGCTAGGCAAGCACCTAGCCACATTCCCAGCCCCAAATGGTGACATTTAAACAGACGGGCAGAGGATAAATCAGAGTTCAGGAAACACAAGAAATGGGGGGGATGCTCAAGGAATATGAGATCAACTTGATGAGCTTCGGCCACTCTTACCCCTTAGCACCTGGCTGTTCAGCCCGGTAACCCCCAAAGTGCATCCACTCATGCCAAGAGAAAGAAAGAACTGGTTCTTTCTTGTCAGTCCTGGGGCTTGAACTCAGGGCCTGGGCATTGTCCCTGAGCTTCTTTTTGCTCAATCACTTAAGTCACAGCGCCACTTCTGGCTTTTTCTGCTTATGTGGTACTGAGGAATCAAACCCAGGGCTTCATGCATGCGAGGCAAGCATTCTTCCCACTAAGCCACATCCCCGGGCCCCAGGAAGAACTGTTGCTTCTTACGGAGCAACTTCTGCACGGGCACGAATGAAAGCGCATGCACGCCTTCCCGGGTTTGTTTGTTTTTTTTTTTTAAAAGGCAGCACGTCTGGTGTAGTCCGGACTGGCCTGGAACTCCAGGGTCCTCCTGCCCCAGCCCGCCTCGGCTGGGATTACAGGCAAACACCCACCAAGCCTGGCGTCTGAATTCCCACGGTGGTCTCGGGTGTAAAGGCGGGCTCCATCCTTGGTTTCACAGGCGGCAAGTGTGAAACAGGGATTCGAACCCCCGGCCCTCTCGGGCATTGGCAGCCGGGATGTGAAGGAAGCTCTGCCAACGCTCGGCCGCTATCGCGATATCTCCCTTCCCGGAGACCGCCCGGCAAGCGCAGCCTCGCCCCGTCGATGGAGGGGGTGGGTCGCGGGCGGGGGGGGGAGGGGGAGAATGAAGGATGGATGCCTACTGGGTCTCCCTCTTCTCCGCCACGTAACCCGTGGCGTCGGGACCCAGTCCCAGACCCCCACGCCGGCGGCCAACACCGCGCGCGCGGCCACATTCGAAAAGACTCACCTGCGGGCCAAACCTCCCGGCCTCCACGTGAGAGCGTGCTCCACCGTGACCCGGAAGTCAACCTCGAGCCGCCAGCCCGCCCGCAAGAAATCCGGCTCCTTCCGGGTCGCAGGTGCGCCGACAACGCCGTTACCATGGAGCCCGCGGTCATGGTGGCTCCGTGGTCTGTCTCCGCTCGGAGCGCTCCCCGAGAGGAGTCCGGCGTTTCCGCCGAGCCTTCAGTCACCGCCCCGACGCCGCCTGCGCCCCTCGAGCAGCCGGTCCCGTCGGGGCAGGTCG